AAAAAAAAAAACATTGCTTGCTATTTTATTTAAGATTGTACCTTGGTTAAATCGAATAACTGGAATATCAGCAATTTAAAATAAATTACACCAAGTGTGATGGAATATCTTACCTTATATAATAGGGGAAAAGGGGAAGCCATATTCTTTGGCTCTTCCGGAACATCTTAGTCACCCAGCAGGTGCGCCCAACAGATGACAGAGTGAGAGGACTTTGTGAACATAGTGCTTTTTTTTTTTGCCCTAATGGAAATAATCTTGCTTCTGGGATTCTTGCAACAAAAGCTCAGGTACATACTCCGTCTTCTTGTATTCTCATCGGTTCTGTGATTCAATTTCACTTTCCAGTGGTTACTGAGTTATGTAATAGAGATTTGGTTTCCTCAAAATTTTGTTACATTTGAAACTATGGTTAGCTGGTTTTATTCAGTGTTTTAGGAACATGTAACTTCAGCTGAGAGTAAAGGAAAGCCTTGCCTAAAATGATCAATCCAGAAAAGAAAAAGGACAGAAAACTAGGTCCACATTTTTGCTTCTAGCAAAACATGCCTTGTATGTGTGTGCGTGCTTGTGTGTGTGTCTTATGTGGGTGTCCGTCTATCTTTTCTATCACCCCTCTTCCTGCCCCCATGAGCTTTATTTTAGTCAATTCTACATAGTGATGAATCTAGAAATAAAGCTACATTAAAAGATAGTTGCAATATAAGAATTGAATTTCACGTGTTACTGCACATAGTTATTTTCTGCTATGATCCATTGTATATTTGTAATTTTCTTTGCGTGTTAGTAAACTTCTAGAATCTGGTTATTTATTTTTTATAGGCTTAATAGCTCACTGAAAGGTAAATTAAGCTGATTATTGTTAATCAACAATTAAGGTGCTCCCACTGCAGAAATTTAAGGCATGGACCTGATGCGCTGTATTATGAGGCCTTGTGACTGTAAAAGATGTTTACATATGTTGTCTATTTTTTTAATAAACTTTTTATAGCTGGTGTATTTGCTCAATGGCTTTGATATACTCCTAATGATGGTGATTATAGTTTGCAATGGTTTATTTTGTATTCACTAAGAAAAACTATGTTAATAAAGATTAATAATGCCTAATGAGCCAGGTCTTACTTACCATGCTACATTCATTGAAGCGGAGATTACTAAATGAGTCAGGGAATTACATATTCCCAAAAAGGTATAATAAATATTTTATTCAAAATGTCCTAAGGTTGGATATCATTGCTTAAATCTGTAATCTCAGCATTTTGGGAGGATCCCTTGAAGCTGAGAGTTCAAAACCATCCCAGGCAAAACAGCCAAACCCCATTTTTACAAAACAATAAGAAAAATTAGCCAGGCATGGTGGGTCTGTAGTCCCAGATACTTGTGATGCTGAGGCAGGAGGATTGCTTGGACCTAAGAGTCTGAGGTTGCAGTGAGCTGTGATCATGCACCTGCACTCTAGCCCAGGTCACAGAGCAGAACCTGTCTCTAAAAATATAACAAAATAAAATATTGTTTGGCTTACATATGCATTGGAAAAATTGGATTTTATAGTCAGACTTTTGCACCCATAACTTTTCAGAAGGTACATTTTTGCAGAGTGGAATTACTTGGTGCTACGAGAATGTGATTAATGAGACATGTTAATTATTAACTTGTTTAAATCAGAGAATTTCAATTGCCATTTAACATCTGGTAATTCTTACTAAGTGATAAAAGTTTAAGTGCAGCCAGGCAGGGTGGTGCCCATATTTAGTCCCAGCCACTTGGGTTCTTGGTGGTGGGAGGATCGCTGTAGCTCAGGAGTTGGAGGTTCCGTTAAGCTGTGCTTGATGCCATTGCATTCCAGCCTGGGTGACAGAGTGAGACCCTAGCTAAAAAAGAAAAAGAAAGAAAAGAAAAGGTAAAATTAGCAATAAATAAATAAATAAATAAATACCAAACTGCTTCAGTGAATTAGGAAAGCGGATCATAGGATTTCATGTAAAAGGGGGTGAAACTCAGCATACATTGGATATCTGTTAAATTTGGGGAACCCTATGTTCCTATATAAAGTACCTCCTGTAAATTCTCTTTAAAAAAATTCATGAGATAAGCACTATTATCCCTATTCATTAGACGCAAAATAGGCACTGGGAGGTTTGGCAAATTTCCAAAGACCCAGCCTGTGTGGGGTCATCCCTGTATACCTGTTGTAAGTGTGAGGACGGTACAGAAGATGAAGACATCTTATGTGGGCGTTGTCAATGGCATCTCAGCTAAGGTAGTGTTTCCAAGCCAACCCTGGGGAGGTTGACAAGGCCTTCTCTTGAAAGCAAAAAACAAAATCCAAAACGTTACTACAAAAAAAATAAAAGTAGAAGTGTGGGAGGCGGGAGTGACATGCTGGGGAATCAGAAACCAAGAGTAGATCACTGAGCCAGACACTTGGCCAACGCTACAAGCCAGAGCAGAGCCTGTGCCCAGCGCGGGGCTGGTGAGCTGCGGGGACGTGCAGAAAGGACTGACAGTTACTTTGTTACCAAACCAAAGGAGGTCCATTCGCTGGCATGCAACCAGGAGCCCAGCGCCAAAGCACTAGGTTTTTGTAGAGAAAAATTTATCGCGAGGCTGTGGAGTGAGAAGACAGAGGAGTCTAGCCCAGGTCTGTCTCCTTGAGCTGGGAGTAGGGCGGATCTTATAAGCAGAGGGTAATGCAGTAAGTGCATCTCCGCAGGAAGGAACCAGGCATGATGCTGATTAGAAGTACAAGCTTGCAGGAGGAGGGCTAACCTTGATTGCAGGAGGTAGCCCAGAGCAACCTCCGCGCTAGCCTTTTACTGAGACAGTACAATACAGGTGAGGGGAGTATTAGACAATGACTACGAGTAAGGATCTGCTTAAGGATCGCTGCTGGCTCGGGCTTTTTCCGCAAGGAGCACCTGCGGATGAATTGCCCAAGGGTCCACACCCCAGCTGCAAATCATCTTGCTCAGAGGTCATCTGGCTCTTGGCATCTCTATAGGTGAGATCTGATTGGATCTTGCAATGAGGTCATATCTGGGGCCATGCTCTGATTGGGTCATGCCATGGGGCTGATGCCAAGACTTGATCTGATTGGATCATGGACCCTGCCTTGTGGTGTCCACCTCTTAATTTGGTCCCTATTCCTTGCTCTGAGCACTTAGTTCTGCCATAGTTGCACGCTTCATCCGTGCTGGTTCAGTGTTCATAACTTGTAACCTGGGGGTCCATAGCACACGAAAAGCAACTCACCATTTTGAACCAGATGGGGCTGGTTCTGCAGTTATAGTAGGTTTTCAGTCATCTAAAATCTCAGAAGCCTAGAAATGTGTGAGGACTGTCACAGTCCCATAAAGTAGAGACAAAAGACAGTCAAAACATTTTATTTGGAAGGCTTATATTACCGGAATGTCTTCTTCAGTAGGTCCTTGGTCTCCACAGATCAGGGCAAGATAGGATTTTATTAAAGGAATACAGAAGGAGTAAAATGTACCAGAGCTTCTAGCAAAGGGCAAGACCTGAGTCAGAAGTCTCCCACATGGGTCCTTTGTGGACTTGGCTTTGAAAATACCTTTTCAAAGTTAACACGTGTA